CTGCTTGCAGCCGGTTTGGTATTCGCTCCAGTTTTTGTCTTATCTGCTATGTAAGCTTTCGTACTATTAACACCCCCCATTGCTTTATCCCCTCTTCCTTTACAGCCCTAAATGTTACCGAAAGATACGTCGGCGTCGACGTTGACGTTTAATGCCGTCTCCCACGAATAACGCGTACAAATAGCCAATAAGAAATCTTCGGTTCTCGCAGAACAACATAAACGATACACCGGAACAAGACTGCTGTCTCATTCGTGACCAAGTACGTATTGAATTATGATGCATACAGTAATGAGGATGACAGATACGAGTACTTAGGGCATGCGGTAAGCCCATATATTCGCGGTGTTAATTTTATCAGACTTATTTTTCCTAAGCTCTGCAGGTACGTTACTTGACGACAGTGCCCATAGCTCAAGCGGTTAGTCGCTGGCTTCCCATCGCGGAGGCCCGGGTTCAAGCCCAGGTCAGGCCATGTGGGATTTGTGGTGGACGAAGTGGCACTGGGGGAAGGTTTTCTGTGAGTACTTCGGTTTCCCCTGCCAATCTTCATTCCACCAGCTGCCCCACAATCACCATCGTCTGTCGTCTGGGGCTGGTACAATAGGCCAGTAGTGGTTGCAGTACCAAATGGACTCAGCCTCACCCCACTAAGAATAATCACTCATGGAGCTGTGCCTTTCTGGGGAAGCCGCCAATTCTGCGTCTTCTCAAGAATTTCTTAAGCATTTTATGGAACCAAAAAGTTCATTACCATGTTAACAAGAGCCCTCCACTGGTCCCTATCCTGAGCCAGATCAATTCAATCCAGACCATCGCCTCCTCCCTCTCCAAAATCCATTTTAATATTGTCCGCCCACCTACACCTTGATCTTCCCAGTGGTCTCTTTCCTTCTGGCTTTCCCACCAATATCCTATATGAATTCCTCGTCTCCCCCATTTGTGCTACATGACCTGCCCACCTCAGCCTCCTTGACTTGATCATTCTAATTATACTTGGAGAAGAGTACAAGTTTTCTCCAACCTCCTGTCACTTGATCCCTCTTTGGTCCAAATATTCTTCTCAACACCCTGTTCTTAAACACCATCAGTGTGTGTTCCTCCCTTAATGTCAGAGACCAAGTTTCATACCCATACAGAACCACAGGCAAAAATTATAGTTTTGTATATTGTAATTTTTATGTATTTAGACAGCAGATGAAAAGACAGAAGGTTCTGGACTGAATGGTAGCAATCATTCCCCAAGTTCAATCGCCTCTTAATTTCCTCCTGAATCCGGTTTTCATTTGATATAGTCCTTCCAGAAATCTGAACTGTGCCACGTTTTCAAAACATCTGTTAGCTATCTTTATGTCATGAATTGCCCTGCATTTTGGTGACAAGATAGCAACATATACTTAATTTTTTCAGTGTTTACTTCTAGACCAACCTCCTTACTTGTGTCAATTAAAAGTTTGTGTGTTTTTCTTTATAGTATCTACATTATCACCCAGTAGATTCACAACATCAGCGTAGACCAACAGTTAATGTTTTCTGTTTAATTTCAGTCCCATCTGGTTTTCCTAATGACATATTCTAAAGCAAAGATGAAAAGCAGTGGCAATAAAGCATCTCCTTGTTTCAGACCATTCTGGATAGGGAAATTATCAAAGAAATGTTTACCTATACAGACTTTACTATATGTTTCATGTAAACACGTTTTAATCAGCTTAACTAGTTTCATGGGTACCCCAAACTCTATCAGAATATTGTACAATACTTCAATTCTAACTGAATCATAGCCTTTCTTGAAATCTACAAATAGCTGATGTACTGTCTCATTGCACTCCGATTTTTTCTCCAGTATCAGACGAATGCAAAAGATCTGATCATTACTTGATCTGTTATGTCAAAACCCACACTGATGATCCCCAGTATTTTCACTTATACATATGGACTTAACCTTGAGAGAAGAGCATTGGATAAAATTTTGTCTGAATTTGAAAGCAGTGATATCCCAAGATAATTACTACAATCAATTTTATCACCCTTCTTGTGAACTGTTACAACAATAGACTCCTTCCACTGATCAGGCAGTTCTTCCTTATTCCAAATAGAATTAATTAGCTTATGGATCTCAGAACACAATATTTCACCTCCTGCTTGAATCAGTTCTACAGATCGGTAGAGGACCCTGGTAATGACCAGCAGATATTATAAAGGAGATAATTAAATTCAGATTTGGAGATTTTGTTCCTGTGTGTATCACTATTGTGAACAATAGTTAGAATGTATTAAGGAACTGGAAAAGCTTCATTCAAGAAACAAAACCACACTGCAATTAAGTGCATGGTGTCTACCTATGTCTACTCCAATTTCTAGCCTTGGTTGACAGTTGAGGTTAATTGGTGCTGTTGAATTGACTTTAAACCATCCAGTCAGTATGTACAGTTTTCTTTGTACTATGGTCAGCATGTGATGATCATAATTCCAGCAGCGTGTCAGCTGTTTGATTATCACTTCATGGACGACCTCAGGTACAAAGATAAAACTTTTCCTGGGTCTTAGGTTGAAAGTCCACCTGACCTAAGTGCAGTGGGACTTATGTAAATTGTGAAAGTAATGACTTCGTGAGACACGGATGATACCACATCTTGATAATAAAAATGACGAGAATCTGTATCAGCTCCACTGTGTAGAGTCTTCTTGCTCGAAATGCTTAGAGCTACTCAGTAGGTCAGGATATTTATGACTTTCATGGAATACGAAGCCTGTCATTGGACTGCATCTTGGATTGAGCCTATTTAGCGCAGTTCTCAGCTTCGCATGAAACTTCCCAGAGATCAGTTTTCGTTATTTGGTATGGCCAACATAGAACAGAGACTGGAGGTCAAAGGTATCAATGATAGAATGTTCTTGTGAGCAGCAGACAGCAGATAATAGTATAGTGTGCTTTTGTTGAGAGATAAGCTCAGAAGTGCTATCTGATGGCACAAGTATTTATCTGTTTTTTTTTTTCAGTTACATCTTGTCACTTCTTGACCCTTTTCATATATTTTAGTTAGTCCCTATATGATTTATCTCCATTATCTTAACATTGTTTATGTGACAGGATTTATAACAAAGAGATGTGCTCTCATTACCAGTTGCAGCCTGTCATGAAGATGAAGTGGGCCATGCAGGTAAAGCCCTGCTGCTTCATAACAGATCCATGAGTTCATATTCTCCCACTGAAGTGGGTTCTGTTTTTGTCCAGTCGGCTTGTGTTGAGGTGATATGTACACATGTTTATAAAATGTTTCCTTTGGAATTTTGTACTTCTCGTTGACCTTTGCATTCATTTTATTATTGCTGACTCAAAGTGAATAAACAGTAAGAGTAAAGGTAAAGAAGTTATATAATTCCCATGCAGTGAACATGTGTGGGACAGTGAAGGCATAGCTTGATGCGTTACCCCCAGGGAGAGAGCAGCTACATCTCTACGTTACATTACGGCACATAGCTTTCCCAGTATACAAGTTGTCAAAATGACCATAGGATGTGGAATATGTCATACAAATACAAAAACACATGTACAGTACAACTGAAGTCTTCACATAAGAAAACCCAAGAAAATATAGTGGTTACACATATGCCTATTAAAAAATACATCCATATATGTACACCAATACTGATGACTTACTATTTACATAATAACCTTTAAACGGATGAGGCATTTTTTAGATAGTACGATAGATAGATAGATAGACGTGTTTGAATATTTGTAATGCTATTTATATTACACTTCTTCATTTGTAATAAGACTCCTGAGGTCACATGGCAGATTGTTGAAAATTTTGATCCTAGCAGTAAAATAATGTTCCCGTATTTTGTCATGTACACAGAAAATTGAAAAAAACCTCTAAGAGTATGACACCTATGTCTTATCCTTCTTCCTTTCTTCTGCCACTTGCGAGAAAGATGATAGAAATTGATGATGTTCCTTGTGTAAAGTAGGGCTGTATCAGACGGATAAGCACTGCATTTAGCTTGGCCAGAGAGCTGTAGTAATCTCTCAATTGCTGTTACTATTTCTTTTTATTTAACCCCCCCTCCCCCATTATATTGTATTATCAGAAATGTTTGTGCTATGTTATTCTGTTACTAATTGAAATGAATGAAGATTTGTTTCTTGTTTCTGCGTGTATGGTATAAGTTTGTTTCTTTTTGTGTGTCTAATTTATTCTATTGTGTCCTTCATTCCTATTGCATAATATCCAGGATAATATGCACAATTTTTTAATTAGTTAAGTTCGAGTTTATAAACATTCATGTCAGCTAAATAGATAAGAAAATTATATTCAGTGTTGTTAGAAGATCAATTTGCTGCAGAATACCATTCATTAAATGATGTAAATGCAATAGATGACACACAGTTGGCAATCCTGATGCCATCATGTCTTTATATGTTATATGTTAGTCTCCATCTTCAGGGTTGAAGAGTAAGCCAAGCAATAAATGAACAAGCAAAGCCAGATATTGCTTGCTGCCTGCTTCATGCTGGTTTCTTGCTTGCTTACTTTTAAACCTTGAAGATGGAGGTGACATATTCCTTTGAAATGTCGATTTACTTTCAGTGGACTACATGCATTATCTCAAAGAAGATGAAAATCATTTTAACCACTGCTGTGAGAATCTCAGGTTTTTGGTTCTTTCAACTTCGTAACATCTGCAGCTGAAACACTTCCATTAAGTCAGATTCTAATCAATGCTGCAATGGGGTTCAGTACTGGAGGTCATTTACTGTCATAAACATGCAACAGAACAGATTAGAGGCTGTCTTGTCAGTGAATATTAGGACATGGTTTTCTCCTGGATGTGACATCTTGTACAGTGACACAAGAGTAAAGCACCTGGAGGCTTTCTGATTTGGTTCTAGCTTTTCAGATGACATTTTGATTATTTGCTTATTTATATATGTATATATACCTGCATAGGACTAAATTTGCTTTGTTGAGTTATTCCAGTGTTTGTTCGCACAGGACCCACAGAATGGTCGATGTTCTGTCAGCACGCTTGCAAGACTTGTACACCAAGTGGGAGAGCCGCAGTGAGCCACGTCTTGTACAGCAGGCAAACTCTCAGATTTTGTCGTATGGGGGGCTGCGGCGCTATGGTCATCAGGAGCGTCTGCAGAAGCGTGCACTGGCCAGAGAGGCATCCAGAGAGGTAACAAGTGGATCTGCCCAAGCTTTGTCAGTACATGTCTGATGTTCAGCACAAGACTCGTGAACGTGCAGACCTTCAGAGCGTGCAGAGCCATCATGTTTTCATTGTTAATTAGGTGTTAGGGGTGACAACATATGTAACTAGGCTTTATTTGTTGGTTATAGGAGTGGGGTGCAGCAGAGCTCTTGGTGCTGTGGCCTTATATGTGCCTATTGTACCTATCTGTGGTGATAGATGAGTATGGAACATTGGTGGAATGACAGTTGGTGGGGGGAAACTGAAGTACTCGGAGAAAACGTGACCCAGTGCTACTTCATCTGCCACAGATGCTCTGGGGTTGAACCTGGGCTTCTGCAGTGAGAAACCCATCAGAGCTATGGCACTGAAGTCTCGTCAGTTTGCTGCATTTTGTACTGTAGGACTAGGCTAGGGAGAAAGTGCCACCACAGCCATGGCAAGCCATATTTGCACCATCACTTTCAGTATTTGTTCTACACTGTACTGTAATATGGCATTAACTAACTGACAAACTGATCTGTCAACTGTGTTTGTGGTAACAGAACATGAAGGGTCTCGGGTCTCTTCACATCCTCATAGACTGTTTCCCTAAAATTCAGTCTGCAAGTTTCTGCTTCCCAGGAGCCTTGTCAGCAAAATTCTTTGCATTTTCTTGTTTCTCCATGTGAGCTATGTGTCTGATCTGTCGACTGCCACCTGCATCCAATGTTGGGGAAAGGCTGACGCCCAGTGCAGGCTTTATGGGTATTTAAATATTAGCTGTGGTGTTGCAGTCCAAGTTGGGGGACCTGCTGGAGATCAAGGAAGAGCCATGGCAGCTTGATTTGAACATGGAGAAACGCCCCTTCATGGGGCTCTGCTGCAACAACTGCACATCTAACAGCCGGGTGAGCTTCATGGTCTGACGGAATGTGTATGTCAATTTTAAGTGCAGAAATGTTGTAATATCTGACTTATAATGTGAAAGTAAAGTTGTCCCTGGCCTTAAGTAAGCCACACACTGTGAGGGCGTGTGGATGAATGCAGATATAGCATCACACATTCTGAAGGTCGGCACTAAGTGGATGGAGGTGAATACTCATTGTTACATCCTGGCTGGCCACTTTACCCCAAGGAAACAGCTCCAAGTACATGTCAGATAGCAGACAAGGTGGGTCCCAGAGCCAGTGTGAATGCTATGGAGAAAAAGTCTCTTGCCCCAGCTGGGAATTGATCCCTGATTCCTTGATTCTTCAGCCCATAGTCAGTCACTATACCGGCTGAGCTAGTCTGGCTTCCCTGCTGATTTTTCATGTGTCTGTCAGTAATGAAGTTGAATGTTGGATTGACAGTGTCCATCTAACAGCTAGGTCTATAACAACAACATTTATTGACAGTTCTTAAATTTCCAAGTAACATCCCTGATTTGCTGTGGTAACTGCACAAACACTTCCCTTTATGCAACAGTTCTTGCACTGTCGGTCAGAACATCCCCCCCATGCCACTGAGTATCTCATTTGTGTATAGCTACCTTCAAAAGTCATCACAGATGTCAATCCAAAATGTGACCACGACTGCAATAAACGTTCTTTGCTAAAATCATTAGTACAAATTATCTGTTTGACTTACTTCATTTTCTCCTGTTGTACCATACAGACACATGGACTCAGAAATACTGTAAAGAAAGTTTGGTAACTTGAACATAGATCAACATTTTGATACCAATAACAAACGGAATTCACGCTTGTAAAGTGTGTGAAAAATCAAAAGTTGGTGTTGTCATTGTTTTTATGCAAATAGTAGTTACAGCCAGTGCTTTAAGATGCATGTGGTAGCTGCAGTTAATGTTTTCTTGCAGGCAGTAGTTAGAGCCCATGTATTTTCAAATGGACATTAGCTGCAGTCAGTTATTTTGTTCAGACAGTAGTTTTTGGCAGGACTGTGTTCTATTTTGAAGTGGAGTAATTGTTTTATTTTTACTGGAGTGGATTGCAAGCAGGCATGTGGCGAGGGTTCATAGAGCAGACCCAGCCTGTGGTAAGACATGATTGACTGATTGATTGATTGATTGGTTGGGCACAGTCAGTAAAGCCAGTTAGTGCATTTGCTGCTGTAGGTATGACATTGTGATATTTCAAAATAGTGGGGTTTCTTTTTGGTATTGAAGCAAGAAAATTGTAGCTTGATTTGTCTGATGGTGAGCTGGTTTCTGGTTCTTAATGATTACTGAAAATTGTGTCTTCACACAAGATACAAATGTAATAATATTGCAAAGATAATTTTGCCTATACTGCATTCATTTAACTGTCATATTGATAAATTTTTCAAGTTGAGGTTAGCTAGCAGATGCAAATGTAACCATCACAGACCAAGTAGAATACTCCAAAATATATTATGAAATTTTTACTCCATATTCTTACCAGTATGTGTGGTAGTAGTAGTCATGACTGTAAAGCAGTGTGCAAGTAACATTGTAAAGCACAATAGATCACTGTAGGTCGCAGTGCAAGGGCTAAGAGGGGCCACCCCTTGTACATTCATTCATTCATTCAAGTAACGTGGTATGAGTTTTGGATGTGATTCAAATCTACCTTCCCAATATCTTTATCTTCTAATTACATCAGTCAAATTTAATATATAAATTTTGTTTTATTTCTCATTTAGAATTTTAGCTACTGTATATGTTGTGATATTAACAAGAAAAGCAGCCATATCCTGTGCAAGAAGTCAGGACTTCTGCTGGTAGATCATGATGAGATGTTTGAATGCCTGTGTTGAGGGATGTGATAAAAGGCTGTAAAACAGCGATACTAATGGATTGATATGGGGTTTGGTGTAGATATCACAGATCAGATTTTACCAAAATCTTCTTAATTAGTTTTGGAAAACAAAAATGTGTTGACAGGCAGATGTTTTAGTAGATGAAGCTGTAACACAGTTCAAGAGAGTGCCATTGTGTTGTCAGAACTCAGCTGTAGCGAAGGTTCATCAGGAGCAAGGGCTGCGCAACATCCTGCTGGTGGATGCACAGGACTCTGGAAACAACTTCCTGACACGCAAGTTCTGTCACCTGTCAACTGTGTACCAGCTCAAGAAGTATGAATATCCCCAGTTGGCTCTGACGGTGAGTGCCTGGCCATCACACACATTTTCATGGTGCATGTAGATGTGCAAATTCTTATACCCTGGTCTGTGTTGCAGGTAGTGAAAGATGAGCAATTGCGACAGGTCATCGAGGCTGCAGCCAAGGATGACTACAGTAAAATTGGTGAGGAAGATGATGAGGTGTACAAGGGTATTCTTCAGGGACATGAAGCAAGGGCGACCAAGATACTGTATGACATGCGATCCACACTGTCTGACTTCTTACTCAGGTACAACAGTTCTTTCTCTTTATGACATTGTAACCACACGTTGTGTCTAATCCTACTTGTGCATTCATTTCAATTGCTGACTTACATTTCTGTTTTGTTTGTGTCTGCTTTATGTTTCTGATTGCTTGTTTTTTTATTGCTGGTGGGGTGGGACTAAGTCCCTTGTACTGCGGCCACTTCTGGCCTATTGTACCAGCCCGAGATGATAGGTGAGCATGATTGTGGAGCACTTGGTGGAATGTAGATTGGCAGGACAAACCGAAGTACTCGGAGAAAACCTGCCCCAGAGCCACTTTGTCCACCACAAATCCCACTCTTGACCAGACCCGGGATCAAACCTGGGCCGCCACGGTGGAAAGCAAGCGACTAACCACTTGAGCTATGGCATGGCCTTATGTTTCTGATGGTGAGCATCTGATTCTGAGAGCAAGGTAAATTAACGACATTGTGTTTTAACTATTGAATTTTTAATTAATAGACTTGTATAAAACTGTAGAAATTGTATAAGGTTTGCCATTGCTCATATTACTAAAATTAACATATTTTATTATATTGTATACGTTTATCAGTATTGTATTATGGATATGTATGCTATTGGATGACAACTATAATTCTTAGTTGTACTGTAAGCGGTCTCCGTAGTCTAGAGGTAACGTTCCCACCTCATGACTCGTAGTACGCGGGTTCAAATACCCGGAGGAGGTTGTCGAATTTTTAAGGGCGGAAAAATTCAGGGAACAAGTCCTCCGGGAGGGACTTTAAGCCGTGGGTCCCGTGTCGTAGCTTTACAGCACATAAAAGAACCTCATATCTCCTAAGGAGGTCACTGAGCCAAATTAACGGACGTTTCCCACCCAACAGCAGTCTCTAATACCTCTGCTAGATGGGGGAAGCATTATAGATACCTCTCAGCTAGTAGAGCTGGTCTCGCTGGCTAGGTGGGACTGATGGTAAGCATCAGTACCAGTAGGATATAGAGACTGGTAGAAATCATAGAGGGAAGCACAATGGACCAATACAGGTCTCAGTGCATGGGGAAACCCACCCTCTCCAATAACTAACTAACTAACTAACTAGTTGTACTGTAACTAGGATGATCTCCACATCCACATGAGAATGTACTCTCAACAGGATTTATGGAAGGTGAATAAATGAAATTAAATGAAATGGAAATGCTGGTAGTGACTGCTTTATTAGGATGCAAGCTGTGAGGATTGACTCCCTAAGTGTTAACACTGCTGTCTTCTGGGATGCAATGCCATGTGGTCGTGTAGACAGATAAATGGTTACTGCTTCATGCTGCCTATCTTCATGGATAGGGGCAACAGATTCCTGTGAAACACCACTGACCATCTGTCTGCCAGGCTATGTGGCATCATATCTCAGTCACCATTGTGCACCTCATATCTCATTCCTGTGGTCAAGAAGTTCCGTTTGTGTCCTCCAAAATGCTGGGAGTATCTGAATTAATGACACATGTTGACAAAAATTTGGGAAAATTATATTTCAGAACTATATGATCGACCTAATCGGCCAGAAACCTTAGAAGTTGAACCAGAAGAAGAAGTAGATACAGACGAGAAAGGACCATATATTTTACAAAGTGAGGTGGAAAAAGCTATCAAGGAAATGAGGAAGGGAAAGGCTACAGGAGATGATGAACCTGGAGATGTGCTCAAGTTACTGGGAGAAGGTGGTTTGAAAACACTGACAAAACTAATGAACACCATATATGAAAGTGGAGAGTGGCCCAAGGACTTTACAGAAGTTACAATGATTGCCTTAAAGAAAAAGACAAAAGCTACAAAATGCAGCGACCATCGCACAGTAAGTCTTATTGCACATACAGCAAAGATAATAGCAAAGATACTTAAAAGAAGAATTGAAAGGAAAATAGAGGATGTACTTGGAGAAGATCAGTTTGGATTTAGAAGAGGAAAAGGAACCAGGGATGCAATTGGGATGATGAGAATTATAGCGGAACGAACTTTGGAGATAGATGAAGAACTGTGTGTTTGCTTCATAGACTGGCAGAAGGCATTTGACCGGGTAAACTGGACCAAATTAATGCAGATCCTGAAAGAAACAGGTATCGATTGGCATGAAAGAAGATTGATTAGCAAATTGTACATGGATCAGAAAGTTAGAGTACGACTGGACAGGGGGGAGACAGGAAGTGTGCAGATTGGAAGAGGAGTTCGACAAGGATGCTGTTTATCACCAATTCTGTTCAACTTGTACAGCGAATGCCTTACCAAGGAAGCTCTGGATGGGCTCGGTGACTTCAAAGTAGGAGGGCAAATTATTCAAACTGTGAAATATGCAGATGACCTTGTGTTAATGGCTAAGGAAGAAACTGTGCTACAGGGCATGATTGATAGACTAATTGAAATTGGAAGGTGCTATGGCATGGAAATGAATGTGGAGAAAACAAAAGTAATGAAAATTTCGAGACAACCAACCCCAGTCACAATAAAGATAGACCAAAAACAAGTGGAGAATGTGAAATGTTTTAAATATTTGGGTAGCTTGTTAACAGATGATGGAAGGTGTACTTGTGAAATTAAATCCAGGATTGCCATGGCAAAAGCTGCATTTAGCAAGAAGAAGAATCTTTTTACCAGCAAATTGGACTTAAATTTGAGGAAGAAACTAGTGAAATGCTACATTTGGAGCATAGCTCTGTATGGGGCTGAAACATGGACACTTAGGGCAGTAGATCAGAAACATCTGGAAAGTTTCGAAATGTGGTGTTGGAGAAGAATGGAGAAGATCAGTTGGACCGATTATGTGAGAAATGAAGAAGTGTTAATTAGAGTCAGTGAGCAGAGGAATATCCTACATGAAATAAGAAAACGGAAGGCTAATTGGATTGGTCATGTTTTACGCAGAAACTGCCTTCTAAAAGAAGCTATCGAAGGAAAGATAGATGGGCGGATAGAAGTGACAAGAAGACGAGGAAGAAGACGTAAGAAGATGCTGGATGACCTTGGGGACAGAAGAGGATACTGTCATTTGAAGGAGAAAGCTCTAGATTGCATTAAGTGGAGGAATTGTTTTGAAAGAGACTGTGGACCTGTCGTCTTGACAGATTACTGATGATGATGATGATGATGTTGACAAAAGCTTATCCTAAGCCAGGTTTGTGTTCATGTTCTGTTATTCTTCTTGCAGGGTGACCTCGTGGTTACTGTACAAGCTGCTGCCTCGCTTCCTGACATCTGTGGTGGCACACCCTGCCCAGGTACAAATGCTCATAAAAGCAAGTAATACAGGGCTGCCTCTTATCTTCCTGCCGATGCACCGCAGCCACCTCGACTATATCCTCATCTCCTTCATTCTGCTGAATAATAATATCCGTTCCCCACTTGTTGCTGCTGGAGACAACCTCAGGATTCCAGTGTTTGGGTGAGTTGGGGCTTGTGGCCAGACTTCTGTGTGTATGTAAGTGGGGACTGATGACCACATTCCAGTGTATCTCATCTCTTCACAGTGTGAATCAGCATTAACCAGTAGAACCTGAGGGGACAGCAGTGATTGTATTGTGAGCCACTTCACTATCCATGCTTCTTAACAAAGAGAACTCTTTACTGAAATCTATGTTCTTCTCATTTGAAGTTACGTGACAAGCCAGTCACCTGAGGTATACAAATCTCAAAGTTTGTTCCCTTCATTCTTTATTTCCTGCTCTTCTTACCTTTCATCGTTGTTTTAGTATTCTTGGGGGGGGGGGTAAGTCTCTTTACATGATGTGTTTGAACCAGAATTTTGTTCTGCTTTGTGTTCCACCTTGCTTAGTTAGTATTCTATTTTAATTAATGAAGAGTGTAACATGTGAAGCTACACATTATCTATGTAACTTTCTCCAGTTGTCTTCAGAGTTCAGATATTCCCTTTGCAGTATTTTTGCAGACACATTCAGTTTCTGCTTCCTCATTCATACCAAGCTGTATAGTTGTTATAGTTATATGTTTTAATCTTTGAATTTTTCAAAGAAATGATGATGTTAAACAGTGCTTGCAGGCATTTCCTGAGTTTATTGTTTTGTTGTTGCTGACACTCTGTCAAGTTCTGTGTTCATCGTCACAGTTATCCATCTTCCCAGCATTAGTCAGGTGTGGAAATTAGAAAGCTAAAGCATCTCGTCTCTTACTGATATTTCTAAATTATTTTCTCTGGAATGGGGGATTTTGTGTCTGCTATCAGAGCCCATGCCATCATCTTATTCCCAGTTTCTAATGCAGCACTGTGTTTCTGATATTGCTGCAAGTGTCACTGAACAAGGTGCAGTCTTATTATCAGAGTATCCATCAATAATGCAACAATATAAAAGACATGTATCACTAGTGCGGTCTACCCGTGTGTACCTGTGTACAGTACACAGGTAGACAGCACTAGTGATACATACGACACACAAAAACTATGATAGATGCAACAGAGTGCAATGACAGCATTCTGAAGAGATAGAACTAAATACTGACGTGCATGGAAGCACAGTGAACAAGAGTACAGTGCAGTGGTCTCCACAGAAGAAAAGAAAATTACCTGATGATGGCCCATTTGCTGCTGAAACATGTCTTGAACTAGAAGAAATATATGACTAGAAACATTTTAGAAATTAATAATCACTTTCAATGTATAAAACATGCTTTTAGTGTCCTATTGACATGTAATGATTTTAATGACATCAAAGAGTATTGAAATACATTTTTAGTGTGAAACATATTCCTAATGTCTTTTATATTGTTGCATTATTGACGGATACTTTGATAATAAGGATCATGCCTCAATGGAACGGGATGCTAAAATATAATAGAACAAGGTGCAGCCTGCCCTCTGACTTGTGGAATATTGTTCGGGTGATGTTTGTGAAGATGTTTACTTGTCAGGGTCATACTGACGTGAAACTGTGGTACATTTGGTCGTGTAGTTGGCTGCTGCGAGGGCTTGGGGCATTCTTCATCAAGAGGAGAATGGACCCTGTTCAGGGCCGGCGGGATACTGTGTACCGTGCTGTGCTCCACACATACATGATGGCATGTCTGCGTGCAGGTCACAATATCGAGTTTTTCATTGAAGGTGGCCGCACCAGAACAGGGAAGGCGTGTTTGCCAAAAGGTGAGTTTGAACATGCTTCAGGAACTTAATGGTCTCCACTCTTGTCCTAGTAGTTAAAGCACACGAACACAGGTAATCATGTGAGTAGTCCATATTGGCCTCTCAAACAGCTGTCTGTTTTTCCTGTGCTCCGATCCCCATATGCCATAAACTCTTCTCTTTTGTCATTCGTTCCTCGAGGTCTACTGTTTTGAGTTTTCCACTTGGATGTTCTCATGATCATTTAAAAGCATACAAGCCTTCTGATATATTCTCTGTTGCCAAATTTTGTCCATGCCATCATTGTATAAGATATTAGAACTGAACTTTTTAGGGAGGAAGCTGGAATTCAGAATGTGTTAGTAGAGTTACAGTGGAAATGATTACAGTGAATATCAGGAAGAAGAATAGTGAGAAGAGCTTGAAAGAGATGTATGGGCTAACGCAGAAGAAGATGGTTTTGTCAGACACTGGAGTACATCAGGAAGAAAGGAAGGAGATGATAAGAAATAAAATAATTAAAGCTTGTGGGTCGGAGGTCAAAGAAACTGTAAGCTGTTCATCCACTGAACTGAAGACATGGTAACAGTACTGGTAGGCATAGACTCAATTTGTGTCCTGTCATGTTGGTATCCCAGGTATATGCTTGCCAGGCTGTGAGGCTGCAGTGTGCAGCTAGTAGGGGTTTAAATGCTGGCTTCAAGGGTTAATGCAGTAAACTTCCCCCATTATATGGCATCTATGGGGGAATGATGCGTGTGCTGGTTACATGAATCTGCTGTTTGCGAGAGAGATACTCAAAACAGCACATTTTCACTTCAGAGGCAGTATGCTAAGATTGAAGAGTGAAAGATTTCAATTACATGTATTGAGGACAGATAGCGGTGCTAATGGTGGCTCGGAGAACTCTGCTTGGAAGGTGAAAAAATTTGTTTTTGAATAAGTATATAAATGGTTGGGGGGGCTATGCTACAAGCCGGAAGGTCGCGGGTTCAAGTCCCGATGAGGTCATTGGATTTCTTTCATCTGACCTAATCCTTCCAGCTGCACTATGACCCTGGGGTTTACTCAGCCTCTAACAGAAATGAGTACCAGGAATTAATTAAATAATTTTCTTGGGGAGTAAAGCGCGGCCGGCGTGTAAGGCTGACAACCTTACCACTATCTCTGAGCTGATTGTCTAGATAGTGTGGGACCCTCAACGTCTCACAACCCTATGGGCCTTCACGGCCTGTTACAGGGATAGCTTTACTTTTCTATATAAATGGTTAATTTTCTTTGAAACTTTTGCTAGTTGGATGACAGTTCCAGATCCTTGGATAATGAATAACCAAGAGGTGACTGTAGTTCTGAAAACCCTCATTTCTCTTTCCCTCACCTGCCTTTATCACTGCATGATAAAGTTTTCATACTTTTCAGTTTGAGTTACGTATGTACGTATTCTGCATATAATTTCTGGGGTTTGCTTCCCAAGGGAATGAAATGCTGTACCCCTGTTTAGAAATATTCTAAAGGGGATGTACTAATTTATCTGGCTCTAAAGAGCGTTGCCTTTGGTTTTATTAATTTTGCTTTTTGTATAAATACTAAACTTTTGTTCCAAGACTGATGTTATCGAGTTATTTATTGTGATGGCGGGCAACTGCTTTCAGGGGGTCTGCTGAGTGTTATTGTGGATGCATACATGGATGGAACAATTGAAGATGCGTTGCTTGTGCCTGTTAGTGTCAATTATGAGAAGCTTGTGGATGGCAACTTTGTCAGAGAGCAGTTGGGCCAACCCAAGCAAATGGAGACGTTTTGGAAAGCCATTAGGAGCATCTGGTCTGTGCTTAATTCAAACTATGGCATGATGAGGATAGACTTCAACCAGCCATTCTCACTTCGGGTGAGTCCCAGTCTGGAAGCTCATATTTGTGAGGCGAGAATGTGATGCTTGGCTGAAGTCCAACTGAATCCAGTTTCATAAATGTAATGCACACATTGTCTGAATGATAAGGGGAGACTGTGCAGTGGCACATCACATGTTGGGTACCGTGCAGCTCGAATCCTGTTCTGATGTTCAGGCTGCGTGCATGCTTGCTTAATAACAGCATTGCTAATTTAATTATTATGATTGTACTGTGACACATATACAGATCATAAAGTTTCTTGGTGTGTAATGTTATTATCTCATGTGCATGCATTTTTTGGTTTTACAGTGTTTGGTTGCCACCTGTGAATTTGCCAACAGGAGACGAGCAGCCAGGCTGTTTCCTGTGAAGCAAAAGCAGGCCAGTAGGAGTTTGAACAATTAACATTTTTCTCCTTCATGTTATACTGTGACCATGTTCTCTTATGTCAGGAGCTGGTCCGATCGTTCCATGCCTGCAATAAAAGCAAGTTGCACACAAGTGTGCCTGACAGTGGTGGTGGGGGGGACTCCCCCCTTCAGAGCGTTCCCAGTGAGAACCCCAAGCCGATCAAGAGCCTGCACACAGTACCTTCAAGTGCATCACTGTATGGAACAGACATAATGGTGGAGGAGCACAGACTGATTGTAGAGAGCATAGCGAGGCACATAGTATATGGTGAGTCATCATTATGTGGCACAGACATAGTAGCAGTGGAGGAGCACAGGCAGCTTGTGGAGAGCATAGCGAGGCACATAATTTACGGTGAGTCATTCACTGTGTAGAACATGCATTTTGGTGGAGGAGCATAGGCAGCATGTAGGGAGAGCTAGTGTGAGGCACATGGTGTACGGTGAGTCACTGCACGGAACATGCATTTTGGTGGAGGAGCACAATCAGCTTTTACACATGGTATATGGTGAGTCACTGTGTGCAACAGTCAATTGTGATGGAAGACTACGTTTAATGGATTGATTATAGAAGGAAGATATCTATACCTTCATGTCAGTGATGAGGAACCATTGATGGCTGACCTAATGTGGTTATTGAAACCCTTAATGATATTCTAATAAGTATAGTGATGTAGGAAATAAGTTATCCCCTGTATGCTTGCCTGCCCCTGCAGCTGCATCTAAGTGGCAGCATGTCCCTGTTGTTGCAGGGTTATATTATTTTTAGCTATTCTTTGGAGGCACAGTAATACAGTATCCAAGCATCTNTGCGGTAATTCTCCCAGCCACAACTAGAAGTTCTGCCCCTCATTCTCCCTTAAGGCTCGTAGAGGCTAATTGATTCTGCAATCACGTTACACTACACCCAGAATGTTTCACCTGTCAGTCCACTTTTTCACTCAGGAAGATAAATGCCCACGTAAGAACTAAAGTGAAAATATGTTCTTTTGACTTCTGTTTGGGTTTGTGTAAGGATTTTCTTAATGCAACTGGCAGATGTAATTGGTACACTCCCACTCCCCATGCATGGCAAATAACTTGAGTTTATTGTGTGTATTGATAAACAAAATGCATTGTTTGGTGAAAGGGAGGTACAGAACAACTGTGATCTGTTGATGACAAGACGAAGCACTGGTGCAGTCTCAGTGCAAACTTCATAGTGTCTCAGAGTCATGATACAGCTATGTGGTCAGATCGTCCAACTGTATCTCAAGAAACAGTGGTGGTGGAACATGTTATTAAACTGTTTTCCCTCCTAGATGCAAAAGCATATACCAGTAGACAAGGAGCTGCTGTAAAATGACCGGACTGATTTTTTGCCAGCTCGCTGTGCCCTTGGCAACAGCGAGTGGAGTGGCATATTAGCCTGTCTTCTACCCTCCATCAACCCTACCACTTCCAAGGCCATATGGCCAACAGTGTGGTAGCAGCCTTTGTTTAAAGTGAACCCTGTATCTGAGCTCCATTTGAATTATGTTAAGTGTTAAAGTAGAGCTACATGTCAATGTGAAGTTCCTTGCGAAACCTGAAAAATCCGATACAGAAACATACAGTTTGTTGATGGAAGTTCATTGTGATGAGTGTCTATCTCATACTCAAGTTTTCAAGTGATTCAAAAGGTTTAAAGTGCGAAGGGGAGAGATCGAAGGTGATCTGTGTCCGAGTCAGCCTTTCGCATAAAAAACAGATGCTGACATTGAAAAAAATTGGTGAAATTGTTAAAAAAATCGTTGCCTGAGCATTCTAGCAGTTGCAGAATTAGCTAACATTGATAAAGAAAGTGTTCGACAGATTTTACATGAACATTTTAACATGATAAAAGTGTGCTCAGAGATGGTGCCAAGAATACTCAGTCCTGAGCAAAAGGAAACTGGAATGAACATTTGTGCTGACATCCTTCAAAACGTTGAAAATGATCCAAATTTAGGAAATGTAATAACCAGAGCCTGGATTTTGATGACCTGAAAATATTTAAAAAATGACCGAAAAAATCCAAAAAAATGACCTAAAGGAGAAAAGAAAGAACACTTCACTTCCATGTTATTCACATTTCAGAAAACTTCCATAAAATGGCCAAAAATGACAAGAAATACCCTTAAAAGTCCAAAATTGACCAAAAAATTACCCCCAAAATGAAAAAATGACCTTAAACCTAAAAATGTCAAAAAATGACAAAAATTACCCATAAAATTTACATTTCTGTAACCAGCAGCTCATATCTAAGATTTATATATTTAAGAGCATCGCATAGGATACAAGGAAAAAAAGATGACATGTCATCAAAATCCAGGCCCTGGTAATAACTTGATATGAATCATGATTTTTTCAGTATGACCCAGAAAGTAAGTGCCAAGTGCACTAAGTGCATTGGAAGAGTCCCAGGTCACCAAGAAAAAAAAGAGCACAATGAGTAAGTCCAAATTCAAAGCAATGATGATCTTTTTTTCAATATCCAAGGGATTGTTCACGTTGATTGGGTGCCTGAAGGTCATACCCCTAACCAGGTCCACTATATGGAGGTTTTGAGAATCCTTCATGAATGGGTGGGAAGAAAAGGGACTTAAATGTGGACGAATGGCTCATGGATTCTTCACCATGGAAACGCGGGGCACACAACACACTGTCTAGGCGTTTCTGGCAAAGCACAAGATCCCCATATTGGAACATCCACCCTACTCACCTGACCTTGCCCTGTGTGATTTTTTTTTATTTCCAGATATCAAGTCTGCATTAAAAGGAAATTGTTTTGAGTCCATAGATGCAGTGAAAGCAAAAGTGACAGAGCTAATGAAGAAGCTATCAGAAAAGGATTGCTTTCAAGAGTGGAGAATTTGCATGGAGCATGTAGGGGTTGGGGAGGGTACCACTTTGAAGGTGATAACATTTCCATTGTGTGATTAGTTGAATAACTGATTTTAGAGCATCAGTCCGGCTATTTTATGAGCGCCCTATGAATATCACCTTTTCCATGAAGATGCTTGTGCCCTTAAAATGGCAGTAAGTATGGCCTGCTGCTACTGTCATGTTTTGAAACTCATAGTAATATAAGTGTCTGGGCCGCACCATAGCTCAAGCGGTGAGCCACTGGCTTCCCACCGCAGTGCCCCGGGTTTGATCCTGGGTCTGGTCAAGTGGGATTTGTGGTGGACAAAGTGGCGCTGGGGCAGGTTTTCTCCGAGTACTTCGGTTTCCCCTGCCAATCTTCATTGCACCAATTGCTCCACAATCACCCTCACCTATCATCTGGGGCTGGTACAATAGGCCAGAAGTGGCCGCAGTACAAGGGACTTAGTCCCACCCCACTAGCAATAAAAAAAATGTGTCAAAGTTTTTCCATACAGATGGCATCATTTTAACTTGTCAGTTTTCTTTTGCAGATTGCTCATCATCAACAGCAGTGATGTCAACAAATGCAGTTGCATTTCTGCTACTGAACCGCTTTCGTAATGGTGTCATCATGGACAAGCTGGTTGAGGCAATGGAGAAACTGAAGAAGGATTTGTTCTATGCTGGTCGTGACTTTGGCTTCACAGGGGACATGGTGGACGTCATCAACCATGCTGTGAGTACACACCTGGCCTGCCTCCTGATGGATGACAGGTGCTGAAACACCATCTTGTGGGGGTCCTTACAAGTACTATCTTAAGGGATGTTACATCACAAAGTCCTATAAGAAGAGCATGTCGGCGTTTAGATAAATGTGCCGTCTCCATTTTGAGGGTCCAAGGGTAAGTCAGGAAAGTGACAAGCAGCAGCAAGCTTTGAGCCTGAAGATGAAGACAGTACATTTCTGCTAGACTACATAGCGTCACATCCCAGAAGCTATTACTCTTCACAGTCATTTCCATGAGAAGCTCAGATCCCTTGCAGAGCTTTCTCCTTGGCACCTCTTCACATAATGTTACTGAGGCTGTGTTTGCTGTTTCCTTGATGTTGGGTTGTTTGTAGTTATAGTAGTGTGGAAATATGAGGCGCATCCACAAAATAAGTTCTGTTTGCAGATATTGCCACTGCAGCACTGTGGTCATTGTGGTGTGCATGTGTGCATAGTTTATTGGTCCTTTTGGAAGGCATGGACGCTATTTGCAGACAATCAAACCACTTTTACACATTGTCCTGTGTGTTTACAACGTTCAAGAAAATCAAGAAGCCTGCTGCATGTGAAATGCAGTCTGTAGTCCATCTCTTGAATGCAACATGAAACCGGCTGACATTCATCATCAATGTTGTGAGGTGTATGGAGAACTTGCCATGGATGCCATGGTAAGGAGATGGGTGAAACACTCTAACGAAGGGCGCGAAAATGAGCATGATGATCCACGGAGTAGTCAGCTGTCTGTGGTTGATGAAGATATGGTGCATGCTCTGGAAAAGAAGATTCAAGAGAACAGACTATTCACCATTTCTTCACTTTCCCTGCATTTTCCACAAATTTCACAGTCATGTCTTCATGAAATTGTGTCCAGTAGACTTTTGTTTTCGGAAATTGCATTCACACTGGGTGCCAAATATGCTTATGGATGGACACAAAATGAAACGGCAGGCCAGTGTATTGACCTTTCTGACACGATACAGTGAGCAAGGCGATTATGTCTTTAGCTGCATAGTAACAGGACGAGACGTGTGTCGTACATAACCCCTGAATTGAAGCAGCAGTCCATGGAGTGGAGGCACACATCATCGGCAATAAAGAAAACATTCAAGACCATTTCAACTTTCAAGATCATGTGCACATTGGACACACAGATCCAGCAGTACAACGCATGCAGTAACAGGAGCAAAACACAACACAGAACACGATACACAAATATATGTAGGAGGAATGCTCACATAAAAGAGGTTTGGCATAATTTGCGTGTTTGAGTGCGACGTAGGAAGAATCCTGAAAAGTTTTATTATTTAGAATTCATCGTCCTATATGACGAACACAGATTTTAGAATGAAGACATTATGGCATGCAGTACAATAGTTTAACGTGCATACAAGGTGTGGCAATAAAGAAACCGGATTACTTTTATGACTCATTTCCGGCCACGTCATTGACGAAGAGGAGGGTAGGGCATTGACCCTTGGACTTCCCTCTACCGTCACACAAAGTTTCATTCACGTGCATCGGTTAGTCTGGCCGCGACCATTGTTAGAAGCGGATCGTGTTTCTGAGCTCCGTCGGAATAATGCTGAGTGCTAATGCAGAACAACGTGCTAACATCAAATTCCTCACAAAACTTGGAAAATCTGCCACTGAAACTTACAATTTGTTGACAGAAGTATATGGTGATCAGTGTCTATCTCGCACGCAAG